AGTTTAAACTTGAAACTGTTGATTTTTGTTTCTTACAACCCTTCCCATTGCGACTTTCCCTTCAAAGTCTTCTTCTCGCTCCGAAGGCCCCGCCGCCCCCCGCCGCCTTCTCGATGGTGTTGGTGGAGGGTCAAGCCGCCGCTAGTAATATGAATTACTTTTTATCGCCTTACATAAGGATTTTAATCTTCTTCCTCGTACACTTTCTTAGCAATATCATTTTGTGGCGTGGTCCCCTTTAGTGGGTCATCGAAGTACACACGGGGCAGAGGAACATCTATCTCACTCACGCAAGCCCCACCAAGAGTAACGTCCACTAATCTGTCATCTGTCTTAAGAAGCCGAATGAAAAATTAGGATAGAGAGATGTAATCAAGTGTCTACCATCAGTATATAAATAGTGTCGCTATAGATTCTGTTTAGACACAAATGGTGGCCCCTTTCTTTGCTCCTTTTTTTCACAATTCGATATCTTGCTTCTTTTTTTTTTGTCCGTCTTTTTAAATCATTTCCAACGGCACTGGTACTCATACTACAAATAAACCTAGTCTATGTATTTCTATGGCTGAATCGGTTCAGGCAATGTCCATGTAAGACGAGCTCCTCAATTATGAGATGTAAGCTAAAGTCTCATCAGATTTAAATCTGTTTCTTTTGTTTTAATTTATATTATATAAATTATTTAACACCAAGCAAGGCGATAATGCCACTAAGACTCAAGGGGTTAGTGAGAGTGAAAGAAAATGTGAAAACGTTATTGAGGAGAAAGGACAATAAAAGAACAGAAATCAGAAAGACATAAGATGGTGAGTCATGTTTCATTTAAATTTTTGAAAATCATAGTTTACAGGAAACCAAGAAGCCTTGAAAGGGTTCCACGGGCGAGAAGTGCGAGAGAAGACAACTATTAGAATAGAACTTACGGTTGCATCTAGCTATTTCAACAGAAAAAAAAGATGAGACCTAACTGTCAATCTAGTAGTACGTTTAAATGAATGAGGACGGGATAGCAAAGAGTAAAGGTCATTAAAACAATTGCCATGAAAATATTTATAGAAAAAATACTGTGAATCTACTTTACGGGGGTGGGAAAATAGCAGAGACCGAGATGCCAGGTCAGGACCGATAACATTGCAGATTCTGCTGAGCTTTTTTTTATTCTTTTTTTTTCTTTTTCAAGAATATCGAGATCTATAGCAGGTAATCACTAACCCTAACCCTAAGCCCTGCCCAGACCAGACGTGGCAGCGATATTCAATACACAGGTGAATGATAGATATATAAAGGTGCAAAATAGCGTGAAAAATGCTCTGATACGATAAAGATCCCAAACCTTCCTAGCAGCAGAATGGTTTCAATATAATCGTTTCACTTCATCTCGATAGAAAATATTTCGATTTAGGGCAAAATTCGTTTTATTTTATTTATCTGTTTGAGTTAAGCCAACAACAACAACAGCAACAGCAACAACAACAGCAACAATAATATCATAGAATGAAATATTTAAAAAAAAAAATTATTACCAGCAATGAATTTTTGAAGAAAATTACCAGCAATACATTACTGAAAAAAAAAATATTAACAGCAATACATATTTGAAAAAAAAACAACAAAACATTAGCAACAGTACATTTTTGAAAAAAAAACAAAACATTAGCAACAATACATTTTTTAAAAAAAACAACAAAACATTAGCAACAATACATTTTTGAAAAAAAACAACAAAACATTAGCAACAATACATTTTTGAAAAAAAACAACAAAACATTAGCAACAATACATTTTTGAAAAAACAACAAAACATTAGCAACAATACATTTTTGAAAAAAAACAACAAAACATTAGCAACAATACATTTTTGAAAAAAAAAAACAACAAAACATTAGCAACAATACATTTTTTAAAAAAAACAACAAAACATTAGCAACAATACATTTTTGAAAAAAACAACAAAACATTAGCAACAATACATTTTTAAAAAAAAAACAACAAAACATTAGCAACAATACATTTTTGAAAAAAAAAAAAAAAACAAAGCAACAATACATTTTGAAAAAAACAAAACATTAGCAACAATACATTTTGAAAAAAAAACAACAAAACATTAGCAACAATACATTTTTGAAAAAAAAAAACAACAAAACATTAGCAACAATACATTTTTGAAAAAAACAACAAAACATTAGCAACAATTTTTTTTTTTGCAACAATACAAAAAAACAACAAGACATTAGCAACAATACATTTTGAAAAAAAAAAACAACAAAACATTAGCAACAATACATTTTTGAAAAAAAAAACAACAAAACATTAGCAACAATACATTTTTGAAAAAAAAACAACAAAACATTAGCAACAATACATTTTTGAAAAAAAAATAACAAAACATTAGCAACAATACATTTTTGAAAAAAAATTTTTACCAGCAATAAAAAAAAATCTTGTCGGCATTGAGGTTGATATGCCGTAAAACAAACCAAACCCTGCAAAGCCAGTTGTGGCTTAATGCCAAACTAAGCTACTCTTAGATGACCTGAAGAAGGCTGTATCTGCCGAAACGTTAAGTGAAAAGAAAACTTGATTCCTATAGTCAGAAAAAGAAAGAAAAAAATGATATCTCAACCGTTTAAGTTAAACAGCAAATGTATTGGGCAAATAATGTTCAATTGTGGAATTTACAGCATTTTTTTCTCTTCGGTTTTTCTGTATTGTTGTTGATGTGTCGGTGTCTTGTTTCTTGTTGATAAAGACAGATTTTAACGGCTTGTTAGAGATAAGCAAAACAAACAAATCCAACGTCGCAACACACTGATCTTGTAGCTTGTTATCTCAAATATTAGATTGTATCAAAACTATTTTCGTTTTTTGGTTATGTGAAATTTCTCCAGACCCTCTGTATGCTCTGAAGGTTTATGTAATGCCGAACATTACAGAAAATGTAAACGATCGTCAGCGTGAAAAGTGGACAGTTTCAATGGCGGGGTGAATTCAAGCTCCGTCCTTACTTACTTTTCATTTTACGCTTATGTCATTGGGAAGACGAGTTTATGTAAGCCTTTTCCATCTCTATTAAATAGCCGGATAGACTGGACTCTCCTTTTCGTTGGCAGTCAATCTAAAAAATAGCAGGATCTGATTTCAAAACAGTTCAACTACCGCTTCTTTGTGGAACCTACTCCCAAGTGGATGCTTCCCGGAGCACTACAATCTTAATCCGTTCAAGTCTAGGATTAGCCGATACATATGTATAACCCCCAGAAAATGCGCCTCTTATCTGTTATGCTATATTCCCCGCCAGAAATTGTCTGAAATTCATTTCGGAAGAAAGGTACAAGAAATAAGATTCAAGGTTTCGATTTTCGTAAGTCATCATCAGGGATAGTTAGAGACAGTTGATGAGTCTCAGAATTGTTTGAGAAGGATTGATGGTAACTTGGAAAAGTCGATCTCTAAAATTAATCGGCAGAAAATGTCTGTCGTTTTTAATAGTAATTATCTTAAAGAACATTTGCAACCTAAATACATTATATATATTATGTGTATATGATTATATCTAAAAAAATTGTAGTATATTATTACATAATATATTGAATATATTATATATTAATATTGCTGAACCAAATTTCTTTGGACCACTTAAAATCTTGCCTTCACAGAAATTGACCGACGAGATGAGAAGAAGAAGGAAAAGAATTCGTGAGCTTATGTGAAAGTGTTTTTGGACCAATGAAAACATTGCCTTCACAGAAATTACTCGGTCAGCCGGGAAAAAGAAGAAAAGAATATAGCAAGCCTACGCGAAATTCCTTTTGATATTTTTATATTGTTTTTGAGCAAAAACATTAAATCAATTAAGAAGAGTGTCTGAAGTTATGTGAAGTTACTCGCCAATTATATTATCGACCTCTAACCAAACGCGGAACTTCAAAGCATTTTCTCTCAAGAATAAGTATTTGAAACTATCTCTTCGTCGAATTTTGAACGTATGCAGACCATATAACCCTTTGGTGAACAACGTAATCTCTTACCTTTGTCTTAAATGTTTTTTTTTTTTATATATTATTTTGTGTCAGATCATTTAATCTGTTGTATGAACATTTCCTTTTCATGATAATATGTTAAAACTGCAGACTTTAATAATTCTTATCTATTTTCTTGAAATGAGCTACTGGCACTATTTCAATTGTGTAAGTTCGTGAATAAATTCCTTATCTTGTTTTGTTAAATTTACCCGTGTGTTCCCTCGTTATTATCACACTTCATTAATCTTCTCAGTGAGGGTAAATCAAATGTTCATTTTAAACCCTAATCTCCACGCTACTATAGATGTTTAGATAATATGCCTTGAAGTTTTGACAAAAATATGAAGATAAAATGAGTGGCTCCTTAGAAATCTGAAATTAGAAATTTAGCGTAGATTTGACTTGATTTGGTTAACCAAGACATACCCAGAAGTTTATTTTTAATTCTGACCTTATGTCCCCACCTCTTTAACTTTCAGAAAAGAGGTAACACTTTGTTTTTAAATTTCCTTGAAAATCATTTAATCACCAGTTACTTACCATCGCCTAAAGAAGTACAATCAAGTATTAAAATATGAAAGCTTTTATGTACCGATTTCATAATGTTTTTATTATAATCTTTTATAATAATAATAATAATAATAATATAATTGATTCAATATAATCTTTTTACTGCATGTCAGAGGTAAACGTTAGCCATTTATGTGTAGTGTCCCTTCAGAATGTGGTCGATCATGGCTCTCCACAACTTCTTATATCTTGTAGTTCATAGAAATGTTTGTTTTACTATCCGTCCTCTTCTGCCATCCATTTTCACAAGTAGATTTTACTCGATGTTACTATCTGCCCCGTTGGCCTTGAATATTTCTCCAAACCTTCTTTCCTCATTATGGTTTCTAGAATTTTCAACTGTCACTGATTCTAAATATAAACGTCCTTTTCGTCTCCATTTTCCTTAATAATTCCTCGTCGCTTACATTGTCCATGGTACTCTCAGTATCCTATCATAGAATCACATCTCTATGGTCTCGTCTCCGCTCTTCTTCTTCACCTGTGAGAATGAATTGTCCAGCATCCCTTGCCATATATATATATATTATCAGCAATGCTTCTAATGAAATTTTCCTGTTTCTTTGTTTAAATTTTAGAAGGCATCTTTTGCCATTCCAATGTGCTTCGGATTTCGGTGTCACATTTCCCGTGCTCTTTTAAAAGTCTTCCCAGATATTTAAACATCTGTCCTTGCTTGATACTAACATTTGTAATGCGTACCTCGCATCTGGAGCGG